ATTGTGATGGTCGAAGTTTAGTTCATCTATACAAATATATAGAACAAAGTCAATCATCACAAATCTTTTCATCACTTCAAGAAGATTCACTTCGTCGAATAAGTCAAAGTATATCATTAATAGAGTTATCTTGTTTTCATTCTCTCATGTATCGACAACGGCAGAAGACAAAAAAATCTATAAAATCAACTGAAATCAATAGAAATATTGAAGAAGTTGAGTTTTGAAAGAACGATTGACAATATCATATTATATTTTGCATCACAATATCTGCTCTTTCAATGACGCACATATTTATATAAAATATCGACCAATCTATTCACTAGTTTTATTTTGAATTAAATCATTTCTCATTAACTTTTGTTGAATATTTATTTTTATTATCGACCTAGCTCAAACTGATATGACGATAGAAATGTCTTTTTCAATAAATCAAAACTATTCAAAATATCATTTGACTAGAAGTGAAATTGTATTGGACTGCATTGAAGTAATGATATAATTGTAAAAGTATTTTGATCATAATATATTATATAAACGTGACAAACAGAGAAAGCGAAAATAAGTTTGTATCAAGCTGTCTTTAATTATACACGATTGCAATATTATTTTTAAACGGTTCTTCTTAATCTGAAATTCTACTGTACATGAAAATTTTATTAACAATAATAATTTAAATTAAAAGAAATATTTATAGAAATTGTAATAGAAGTCGATTGACTGAAGATAATCGTTTGACCAAAACCTAAATAATCTTCAGGACGTCCATTTATTTTTTTTCTTATATTGTCGATATAAATCAAGCATAGGCGACTGAAACTGAAGACCACATTGAGATAATATAATTATCTTTTGAAGTATCTGCAACTAAAATATTGTGAAAAAACGAAAGGAAATTTTTATTCTTAAATTCAAATTACCCACTGATTCTTCTCAAAAAAGACAATTATGTTTCATCTATATGACGAATATTTAATATTACTAATAAAAGAATAATCATGGCAATAATCCATACAGTAAAGATTGCACCAAAATACCATCTTTTCTTTTCATACCAAGGTCTATATAATAAATTTAATTAAAAAATAAGAGAAAAAATGAAATACTGACTGTTTGTATATATTAAGATCAATATCAGACATAAAATCCTAAAAAAAAAGAATATATGAATTATAATAAAATATTATAATAACATCAACCTTTTCAAAATAGCATTGACGAAATGTAACAAAATGTATAAAAAATAGTTTCAGATATAGAAACCATTGAGCTAGTTTTATTCGATTGAAATATGTATAAGGACTATATCGTAATTTATCTTGAATAAGACTATCAGCGAGATCTATTGAGTTTTGTTTTTCTATCCAAATATAAGATGATATATGAGGAACTGTATTGATCAATGGTTTATATTCTTCTTCTAAAGATACAAGTGGTTCCTGAACATAATCAAAAATAGGTTGTAATAATTTTTCAGATTCATCATTAATATTCGATGGATAATGTAAATTAATACTTTCATGTAATAGAATAATTTCCATGTATAAAAAACTCGAAATTATATTCGTATTGATTGTAATAAAAACCTCAAAGAAAATTATGTTTGTATATACCTTCGTTGAATGACTGTGCAATGGCCCGTGTCATACTGATTGAGGTATATCCTCGAAATAATCAAATGAATATAGAAAAAAAATATGATGTATGTTAATATTTTGCTTTCATACACCTATCGACATAAATTAATATCCTCATCCTTGATTATAGAAAAAATATCGATCATACACATATGAATAGCTTATGTATGATTACTGTTACTTAATTAATATATTTCAGAAAAAATGTTGTGTAATTTAGATAAAATATTGTTTTTGATGACATTTTACCTATTATGAGTAATAAATGAATACCTTTACATATTATTATTCAATAGTTAGTTATTACCATCGATAACAATATAATATATTTGATGTTTAATATGTATATATAAGAGGTTGTAAATTACTAAAATCAATCTATATTTAGCAAAAGAAAAAATGGGTGGCTGTTTTATCTCTTTATCCATCATAACTCTTCTCCAAGAAATAGCACTATAAATTAATTTAGAATATGTCAGTATTCACTAGAATCTACAAAATATAATTAATTTTAGTCCAAAAGATTCTTTTGTGACATGAATTAAAATAGTTCGAATGTATAAAAAAAGCAGTGAACAGATGAGTTCTTTTTTTATTCATATATATGTAGAATTTGTCGTATATCAAAATAAAATGTATAAAAACGTGTTAGAAACGTTAAATGAAAGTGAAATCGTAAAAAATATTTAATGGAATGTTGCTGTCATTTTGAAGTATTTTTACTGCTTGGAATTGCTCCTGAATTCTCGATCGAATGTCGGATGTAAATCAGGTTGTCTATCAAAACAGACTGTTAGATTTCGAATGGGAACCCTGCGTGATCCAGCACTGACGTGAATGAAATCCAGTGTGGTCAAGTCTAATTCAGACCGATTGAAAGCACAAACAATTGGATTATGATTATAGATTCCATTCGGTCCAGCGTGAGAAAGAACAACATGACCAGTTCCACGATGAATTTCCAAGCAATAGGTAAAGAAGTCATTCATATTACATCCCATATAGAAAATATTGGACTTAGCTTTGTAGCTCTTCTTGTTAAGAATCATTTCGTGATGAATCGGATTTCCAGCTGCGAGGTAAGATGTTGATTCATAGTAGTGCTCGTCCGTCAGTGAAGGCTTTGGAGCGACATAGCAAATCAAGGAACGAAGATCCGGTTGTTTCTTGGTGGAACTAATTTCTTGGTTTGATAAGGACAATATCATATCTCCATTGAGAGCTTTCCAGTAAATATACGTGATATTAGCTGTTGACGGACGAGATTGTACCTGGCGGTAATGCTCAAATGCTTGGGAGATAGTCAGAGGCAAGAGGAAAGGATCTTCAAATTTTGTTGAACGTATTGTCATTGTTATCCCTTTGAGATAGTTCAATGCTAATTGTGAAGTATATTTCTTGTACCGAAATAGTAATGTATAAATACAAGCATCCTGATATGCTGCTCGAGCTTTCTCTTTGGGTTTGGGACCAAACGCTGGATGGCCACCACTCACCATCGGTTCGACTATTTGTTCGGCGACACTAATTCGTTTTCGAAAAACAGCACTGATCGCTTGACGTGCATCAGTACTGAGGCTGTCAAAGAGATTTTTCGGCATATACACATGATCGATATATTCCAACGGGATCAGTTGTGGCAAATGAGCTTCAACGGTTTGATGTGAATCAACCGTTGTCCACCGATCGAGGATTTGCTTGAGACTAATGTCCATCGAATTTAGTTCGTATTTTAAACTGGTCAGTGCCATCAGTTCAGCAGCAATAGCATATTCATAACCTGGAATCGCAGCATGTAGTTTTGTTGCGTGGTAATGTTCTACTTTTTCAGCTGGAGTGCCAGGCTCAACTCCTAGCCATGGCCGCAATTTATAAGCATTACCACTGAGGTATGTAGTCGCTGCTTGCATGGATAAATTCGCATCAGGATGATGTAAAATGTCTCGCTTGAAAATAACAATGATATCACCGTAATAGTGCCCCTGATGTGGTCCAAGTACACTAAACACAAGTTTATCGGTACCCAAGGTCTTGTCAGATGCAAATCCAATGCCAGATGGACTGGTAAGAAGTTTGATCGATGCTCGTGCAATGTCCATAGTTTTGTCTTGTAGTGCCTTCATGTCTTGCGGTGATACGGCGCCAGATAATCGAATCTCTTTTTTGTTGATAATTTCTTCATAAAACGCGATTATGTCCGTCTGGTCTTTCGGCAATGTTGTTGTATCACTATTCAACCAGTCTGCCGCTTTCGGCATTGCAGAGACGAAATTATTTTTCTCGAATTCGACACAAACCAACGCGGTGACATATTGCCGAGCGTCCTCTTCGCATGATGACATTTGTTTAAAAGCCTCAATTCGTCGTATGCGACTGTGTTGCAACACTGACTGAGCAACAAACTTCGGATTTTTTAAGCGTTCCATATATTCACGACTCATGACATGTCCATGAAGTAGGATAGATTCGAATATAATCGCATTACATCGATGAATAGGTTGTACAGTACGTATCCAATTGAGGATGTCATTGGGAATCTTTCCGGAAGGTAAAGGTTTCCATTTATGTTCAGCAGCATATCGTTCCACGCGCGCATAGTTTTCCCGATGATTTTGCGCAAAGTTTATGCCTTTATCTAAGCCGTAATATGGTGCTACACCAGTTTCCTCGGTAATATTGTGACGAAACTTCGTAGTATGCTCCGCATTTGCGCGGTCTTCGCAATCATCACCTTTCGAACACAGCGATCGGATATCGAGGATATTAGGATGCGTGAACGAATTCAGATGCTCTTCGTCGGTGACTCTAATACATTTTTCACCATAAGGGCATAATTTCCGGGCGATATGAATGGATTTGGACCAATGCAGTGATGTTTTGTCAGTGCAGTTTCGACCGCCTTTGCATACATGCGAGAAATCAAGGCAATGTTGGTGAATGGATGCTTTAAGAGTTCGAGTATTCTGGCTTTCGGATAAAGCGCTATAGAGTGGACAATCGAATGGTGTACGGGAGCAAGGAGTAGGATAGGAATGACTAAATTGATCGAAATGTTTTTTATCATGAAAATCCACACAATTATTTCCGTATGGACAACGCGGAGCAAAATGACGAAATTTAGCACAATGTTCCTGATCATCTTTCTGATATTCGATACATTTGTGCGATTTCGAACACAGGGGTAGATGACGATACTGCTTCAAATGTTCTTCTTGTTGGTTTTTGCATCGACCACCGTCAAAACAATAACTTGGATGTTTATATTCAGTGCAATGACCTTTATTATTGATCTGTGGACATTCACCACCGTATCGACATGGATTTGAACTTTTTGACGAGGCTTCTCCGTCTACAAACTTTCATTGACAAATAATGATTAGTTCAGTACAAAAGGATTCATAAAAGCATTAATTAATCTGGCTCACTCGAAAAAAACTGAATGAGTTTGGATACGAGAAGGAAATGGTGGGTGATAGAGCTTGAGCAACATCTAAGAAGGAATACATCTCATTAGATTTTATTGCCGATCTATTCTCGGTTTACTCCTCAGAAACTGCGCGTTTCTCCCGACGATCATTTTCCTTGCTCGCTTCAAATGCTTTAGAAAAGGATTGAATGTTTTGCTTTACTTCATCAGTAGTTGTTGGTTTTGATTGGAGAAGTTGTTCGAGACACGTACGATGAAACATAACACCAGACGCAGTAGTAACTTCTTCGCCCCTCCCAGTGAGCGGCTTGTTGCAAGACGAACATGAAGACATCTTCAATTACTCTAATAATAAAAATCTCTCCGTGTCTATCTTCATTCAATTCTTATACTTCCTACCTTCACCGAAACTGTAATCTTTTGTAAATGCAAGCCGAAACACAAAAACACATTAGAAAAGAATGTTAAAAAAAAAACATTACTACCTTCACGTTCTGACAATGCGCACAAATACGAGGTGCAATATATATAATGCATTGCCTTGGAAAGAAAGGCAAAAGAATAACGACAGGACGCAGAAAGAAAAAAGTCTCCAACGTCATTAACAGTGAAAGCAAAGACAAACAATCCCCGTTAATGATGCTTTTTCGTCGAATAAGAAACAAACGAATGGCCGACTTAAATTTCACCTTTAGACATCTACAGAATGTTGTTGTTTCTTTTTATTGCCAAACATGTTTGATGAATACACTTCCTATCAACAAAAAATTCGTGGAAAGGAGAAAAAGTATTCGAAGATTGTAACAGTTTCTAATATAATAGGTGTGGGTGTGGGTGTTAGTATCTATCTTCACTTCATTCACTCTCAGTAGAATCATTGATACACTATTATTATTCTCACGTATATTTTTAATAGTATTTGATTCTTTTGAAGTAAACGACATGGATAAAATAAAAATATTCTTGATTGAACTTTGACGCAAACTATTAAGAGAATTAAAATT